TCTCTGTAATGTCCAATTAAAATTACATTTGACCTACAGATACTTATATCCCAAGGATGGCAAATATGCCTGAACGGCAACTCTCTCATCCCTCCCCATTGCCTACAGGTGATGGCAGTTGCAGCCTCCCCACTTCTGGGGGGGGACTACCCCATCCTCCTTTGTCCTGGGCTTTGTGCACATTCTCCTTGCAAACATGCACCCTATAGTTACCCAAAGTTCATCTGTGAGGCATTGCTGGTGGCTCCTTGAATTTCAGCTCAATGCAAGGGCAACCACATGGCAAGGAGAACAAGGGTCTTCTGCTTCTGAATTGGTCTGCAGATGATGGACGTTTGGGCCTGTATGGCTCTTCCTGTCCTTGTAGTCAATCAAAGATGGCCTTTCTCATACAGCTCTGGAAGAAATACAGGAATCCTGTTCTCCTGGCATTTTCATCATCTCACTCAGTGCTACTGTTTGGCATGGTTGATGGCAGCAGGCCATTGATGGCACAAATGCTTTATTGGGGATATCGTATGATATCCACTTGCACCATCACAACTCTGTGCCAACATTCAGTTACTGTATTTGATTTATAATGAACACCCTCCTTCAGCAGGTACCCAGTATGGTGTACAATGAATATATAATTCAAGTGTCTCTTAAAAGCAAGAAACACAAAGAACATAACAGCAAGAATACATATGCTATTCAATTAAAACTGGGGAGTGAGCTCTTCAATTAAAAATGGAAGAACACAGTGTTACAGTGGGCAGAATTATGAAAAGTATGCATAGTTTGTATAACGTGCCACTATTAATGACTTCTAATTAGCAAAGTGTTGGTGTGCATCTAGGTCACACAATAGGATGTATGACCAGGCACATGACAAAATTGCTTTCCAGCACTTTACAGTTAGTGGCAATTACCTGTGGTAAGTTACCCAGTCCCTATGTGGACACCAATAGGATCCTGGCCATTGAGTAGAAAGAACAATAGAGCAAAATGTTCCTTTTTTCCTGTATGGAACAAAATAAGAAAGGAACTGTTCTCCCTCAAATGAGAGATCCACAGTTGAATTGCTACAATCACAACAAGGCCTTTTGTCGCTCTGACTTCTGAAGGTGGTGGGAGGACCTTCAGCATTAGAGGCCTCTGAAGATGATGGTGCTTTGTTCATGTTGGAAGCAACTGAGTAGTGCTTCTGGAGTGGAAGGATTACCCAGGAGAAGGCTGGCATTGCCCAGATGTGTGCACAGTTCTCATGCTCATTGAGGGGTGGCTTTTCATGTCTCCGGTGATGATAATAAATTAACAGTCAGGTTCATATATAGATGTAGATAGTCTTGCCTCCAAACCTGTCATGGCTTTCTAGGTTACAACCCAACACCATGAATTGTACATAAAAAGCCAGCGGAACATATAGCAATGCCTTGGGAGTGTGCCAGTTCTTCATCGTGGTCTTCTGTGAATGCACACAAACGGGTTAATCCGGCGCCTGCGTCGGAGTCCTCGGAATATTCTCGAGCTCTGAAAGAGAAAGTAACAGACGTAACGCTGCCCCCATTGCGCATGCTCCAGCCCACTCCAGCCTCAGTTCCATTTCTCCGCCTGGTGATTCGGAACCTCTCTCACGAGCTCCGTTCGTTTACTACATTTTGGGTATATTTCTACGGTTTTTGGACTTGGATAGGCTCTCGGATTGTGTCTTTCTCCTGCCCCCGACGCGGTCTGGATTTTGGACTTTCCACTAAGGACTTCTGCACCTAGAACGTACCTAGATACACTCTTTTTTTAACAAACTCAGAGCTAGTGGGATGCTGCCAGGGAAGGTTAGTGGACAAGCTAGTACAATAATGATTGCCACTAGAAATGCTTGCATAGAGTCCCACGGCAGGAGGGAAGGGATCAATAATAAGCTCCTTCTTCTTCTTCTTTTCCAGTTACCGCCTCCCTATGAGCAAGCCCTGCAGTATCCTGCAGCCTTATCAGGAACGGAAGTGGGTTCAGCCTTGTCAGCCGGACAGAGCTTGCCAGATATGCTCCAGGCTTCACCCACGTACCCAACTCAAAGAAACACCTCGGTATAGACAAGGTGTCACGTGCATACACCCAACTTGTCTCTGTGGACAGTTCAGAGTCTGGGACCAAGGTTTCGTTTCTCTGGTCCTGTCTGGCAAACCCTCCCTGCCCCCACCCACCCCAGATGCTGCCATAGCTGGGCAAGACTCTCCAAAGCTGCCACAAAGGCCGCCATGTACGGCGTTTGCTCCGCCTGCCCCGACTAGCGCTGCAGCAATGAGAAGACCTCCAGGTTTGTCTGGAAGTGGCCTTGAGCACTACTGAGCAACAGAGCCAACCACTTCGGGAAGTTATAGTCTCCTGTATTTCTAGAAATCTGGTAGGCTGAAAGAACTTCCATCAGGAACTGTCTGGAGATCTGAGGAATCCTGCCTTGGTTGGGGTCAGTTACCTCAGGGGTATCTTCTTCCCCTAGAAATCAGTAAGCCAAGCAGAAAGACTCCAGCGATCTCTCTTGGGTATCCTGGAAGTCCGATATTAAACAGTATCACTAGAACAATTCCCTTATCGCTTTAAAGAGACAATGGAAGGCTTCCGACCCAAAGGGCATCACTGGAGGTAGCTGCTGCATTTAAAAGGTACCTCTGTGAGTGTGTCAGGAGGGCCTTCAAAGTATTAAGCCTCGCAGGGACAATGTTTCTCTTGTCTCATTTGGTCTTCTTACAGCTGTCCTCACAAAGCAGGGATTGGGGCTTCAAGAGACAGAATGAATGTAATTTGCCCTCTAGCTCAGTGCATCAACCCACCCTAACATGGACCTTGGCAAATTTAAGTGGGATTCTTTGCCAGCACCTCCTGTCCCATTCTCAAGAAGCCAGTGGTTTAGGGCCAAGCCATATTAGAAGACAGGGAGACATGCAGTGCCTCAGAACTCAACTCCAACCCACTCGACTGGAGGGAGGTGGAGATGGCCATCTTTGTTCCCTCCCCTCATTATTTCCTCTCCTTGATTGTTTGTCAGAACTTGGACAATCTTACCAAGCTTGAATCTCATTTTTGTTATCTGGGTCTTTTTGTATTTGACAAAAAAAAGAGAAAAGCTTTCAAAATGTTCTTAGTGCCATTGTTTGAAACTAAAACAATCAGGAAATAGTTACAAAGTCTCCTCTCCAGTTTAACAATATAAATTCATGTTGTTTACCAGACTCCTTTCTGTGGAATTCACAAAAGGTCAAGAATACGTATTAGCTGTTGTTTAGCGTAGCAAATCTCAACTCAAGTAGGTGCACTGAATCAGCAGGGAATTGGTGAGACAACTCTTCTTTAAGTTCAACTGATACAGTGGGTCTACTCTAGTTGTGGCTCACTAAGTTAACCAGCAAGATTTCGGCCACTGTTGCATCCAGGATTTATCCCATCAGGAACGCATCAGACAAAATGTTAACTAGGGTTAGCGGCTATGACCAATACTGAGGAATGTTGCAAGTTGTGGCCCAACAACATCTGTTAGGCTGTACATCCACCATCCCTGGCTAAGAGTCTTCTGTGTCTATTATTGCAGCTACAAAGTTACAAATGGTAACGCTTCCTTTACACCTAAAAAAAGAAAATACAAGGGGCTGATCATTCAGATACAACTGACTCAAGGTAATAACAAGCAGATGTTGAAAGTGGGTCTGATTGCATATGATACAATAGAAGATGCAGGGCCAGGCAGACAGGGTTTACTGCCTGTGGGGATGGAAGTGGGAAGGTCCACAGGCCCAGCTACTGTATGGCCTCAAGGCTCCTATCCTGTGCTACCATCTGCTTTCCATCTCAGCAGAGTCTATGGAGTAGACCACAGTCAACAAACCACACCAGTGCTTGTCGGCTATGTATTTACTCTGGCATGCACTATATGACAGTGTTCTGTATGTACAATTTCACTCTTGGAAGGGCTGTAAAACTGGCCAGTGCTGCTGAACTTCAAAACGGGTTTTGAATTTATTTATTTTTTTAAGATTGAGAAGAGCCCCTATATGAACTGTGAACAACAAAAACAGGCAATTTAGTGTGTGGGTGTTATCCCACCTCACCTTCCCAGTGGAATAATATGAGGGATTTATGTGCCCCTCTGGGTCTGTTGGACTCGTTCCCATCTGCCCTAAGCAGAACAGCCAGTGGCGAGGAATGCTGGGAGGTGCAGTCCAACAGCATGAATGGAGCCACATGTTCTGCATACCTCCTGTAGAGCACTGGTTCTTAACCTTGGGTTACTCAGGAGTTTTGGACTGCAACTCCCAGAAGCCTTCACCACCAGCTGTCCTGACTGGGGTTTCTGGGAGTTGCAATTCAAAAACATCCGAGTAACAAAGGTTAAGAACCACTGCTGTAGAGCATCCTCCCACAAGCCTGTTCCTCCAATTGCAGATGATGGGTGACCGAGGTTGCAAGCCAATATATTTGGAGGGGATGACTTGTGGGAAGGCCGTTTCAAACACACACACCCCCGCGTTCTTATTAATTAGACTGGTATTTTCCTTGTTAACTAGGTTTACTGTCTGGGATGTTGCAATAATGGGATTTAAACACATGCAAACAGTCCAAAAGGTGTCCTGCAACTGAGTATATAGTTGATACATATATTTCCCACAAAGCCTCAAAACAGGATGTTAGCAGGCAGAATAAACAGGCTGGGGCACCTTCTGCTGAAATGCCTTTCCAACTGTCTTATGTAGCCTGTAGTTGACATCACCACTGCAAAGTTTCGTTTTACTGAAACAAGGACAAACTGTATCCAGTTATGTGAAAGACTCAGAAATTATAATGCATGCATGTAATGCAAAATCCTTTGAGCATCCTTGAACATCATAATATCTCAAGCACGTCACTGTCAAGTTGAAATATCTAAATCCACCTCTCCTTGGACTGGGTCTAACACCCACTCCAAGAACAGACTTATGGAGAGGTTAGCCTGAAACCTCCTCCTCCTCTAAACAAAATCAGCACTGCCATTCCCTTTTGGAAAAAAAATTTATTTCATTAGAGGTGCCCAGAACATATCTCAAGTGTATTTACTCGGGAGGATGCTCCGCGAACTCCTTCACTGCCGAACATCAGCCAGCGACAGCAGATAAACTGAGCAAAAGTCATACAGAACAACAGGGGAATGACCCATGCTAGATTTGGGGATCCACCGAAGCGGTTCCTTGTGGTCATCCTGGAGACATAAAGGCTCAGAGCATGTCGACCAACTTGAAACTCCCCACCTCGTTTTTGGGAACTACATTGACAAAAGTCTTATACAGCACAGCTCCTCTAGGTAAGTTGCAGATCACTTCCGAGCTTTGCCTACTAAGGGGATGTGGCACATACACTTCCTTGGTGAATCTCACAACCCCATCTTCCAACGCATACAGACAGTTATTTCGGCCAATTCCCACCTGTTAAAGGAAAACAAAAGAGCAGTTAGAAAAGTAGCATCGAGGGCAGAGTACACACAATGTCCTAGAGTTAATGTCAGCCCTTTGATCAGTGCACAGGTACCTCAACCCAAGGCTGCAACTACTTTGATAGCCATGAGGAGTTTGCTCACAAGGACATGACAGACAGTCAATGATAGTACACAATGCCATCCCTTCATCCGCCTTAATCACCATATAAAACCATACTGGTAAATGAGCATTACTGAACTAGTGGTGTTCACCTTTTCTGTTCATTATTCCTGTCAGATCATCTCTCCATTTCTCCTCTATCTGGGTCATAATTGATGACCAATCTGCTGACTAACAATATGTCTTATAATGGAAGGATGGGCAGAACATAGCTTCTTGTGGTTTACACTGTTCACTAGCAGCAAAAACAGAAGACTTCTCTTTCCACCACTTCAGTTAGGCTGCTGGAACCCTGGTTAGTAGCTACCAGATTACAGTAGTGCCCCGCATAGCGATGTTAATCCATTCCGGATTAATCGTCGCTATCCGGAAACATCACAATGTGGGGGGGGGAACCCCATAGAAACTTCGTTTAATGCGTTCCCATGGGGCGAAAACTCACCGTTCTGCGAAGATCCTCCCTAGCACCGCCATTTTCGCCGCCTCGGTAAGCGAGGAAATCGCGTGAAAATGGTTGCGGCGGCCATTTTGGGCACCCGGCGGCCATTTTGGAACCGCCGATCAGCTGTTCTGCAAACATCGCAATGCAAAGATCGGTAAGTGAAACGCTTACCGATCATTGTAATGCGATGTTTACGCTATTAAAACATCGCAATGCGATCGCATTAGCGATCCCAAAAAATAGATCGCTATGCGGATTCGTCGTTAAACGGTGCACTCGTTATGCGAGGTAGCACTGTATTTTGGTATACAAAGGTGATCCCAATGTCTGTGGCCCATGGAGTGCAGCAGGTAATGGATTCTACCCATGAACCACCATTCTGCACCTTGCTCTAATTTGGGCATTTGAGGGTTACAGGAAATGTATTGAAAAACTAGCAGGAAACAAAAGAACAAATGTTAGAGAATTTGGCCCAGGAGTTAGAACAAAGTGGTAGAATGACAGAGAATTCTGTGAAATTACCAATTTGTATTTACGAAGGCTTTCTCGGCCAGGATCTAATGGTTGTTGTGGGTTTTTCGGGCTCTTTGGCCGTGTTCTGAAGGTTGTTCTTCCAGTCTCTGTGGCCGGCATCTTCGGATGACAGCCCGAAAAACCCACAACAACCAAATTACCAATTTGTTTATTGTAACTACATGCTTCAGGCAACTGAACAGATGACTGTACTCATGGACATCACCAGATGCCAGATATAAAAATCGAATAGACACAGAAAAATTAAGCATAGATGCTTTTCCACTGTACTCTTTAACAGTATGAGCCACCTTGGGTCCCCTTATCAGAAGAATGGTGGCCTATAAATAAAACAAATAAATGAAATAAATAAATATTCTGTCTGCCACAATAAAACCAAGGGCAGACTGTAGTACTAACCACGAATTATTAATATCAAAAATTAAAATAAAGCTGAAAAAGAACACTAAAAGTATCACAGTGCCAAAACTTTATGATCACATGAAGAACAGATATGCATTTCTAAATTCAATTAATTGTAAATCAGAAGAACTGTAAATCCAATCCAGATATATTGTTATGGAGAAATGCAAAAAAGGACTATTTGTGTAGTAAAAAGAAAAAAATAAATTATTAAGGACAAACAAGAAGCAAAAAGTAAAGGTGCCACTAGTAAGGCCAGAATTTAGAATGCCACTTTTTAACAACTATCACAACAAGACACAAAGATTATTACAATGACCAATGCCAAGAAACAGAACAATAGTGAAAAAGTGAGTTCTCTACCGTAAGAGGCAAGAAATCAAAGGGAAATTGAAACCTAGGTGAAGAATGATAGAACTTCTGACAACTACAGAGACTGAATCTGTAACAAAAAATCCTAACAAGAATGTGTCAACAAATAAGGAAGACAAAACATTGACCGATCAACTTGAAATTTTTAATATATATATTACAGTCCCCAAAGAGTGAGATGTCAAGGAGTGTGGCAAATACAGGACTGCTGTACCAATCTCCTATGCAAGCAAGATGTTGCAACAAAAACGTTTAATCTTATACGGAGTGAGAAATGTTTGATGTTCAAGTTGGATTTCAAAAAGAAAAGGGCACTAGAGATCAAGTTGCAGATATATACTGGCTACTGGAGTGCACCATAGAATTCCAGAAGATCACTGTTCTTTAAGATCCCTAAAGGAACCTGCAGGCTTGAATTGCAGGGCTGTTGAGGACAGGGCATTTTGTGTTCAAGTTGGATTTCAAAAAGAAAAGGGCACTAGAGATCAAGTTGCAGATATATACTGGCTACTGGAGTGCACCATAGAATTCCAGAAGATCACTGTTCTTTAAGATCCCTAAAGGAATCTGCAGGCTTGAATTGCAGGGCTGTTGAGAACAGGGCATTTTGGCGATCACTCATTCATGGGGTTGCCATAAATCAAGGGTGACTTTACAGCACATACTGTAACAACAAGTTGGATGTCTGCATCTCCCAATTGGGACATGATAGCGCTGCGGGTTAACCCCCAGAAGCCTCTTTGCTGCAAGGTCAGAAGACCAGTAATCATAAGATCAAATCCACGCGACAGAGTGAGCTCCCATCGCTTTTTCCAGCTCCTGCCAACCTAACAGTTCGAAAGCATGTAAATGTGAGTAGATAAATAGGTACCACGTTGGTGGGAAGGTAACGGCATTCCGTGTCTAGTTGCGCTGGCCACGTGACCACAGAAACTGCCTATGGACAAATGCTGGCTCTACAGCTTGGAGATGGGGATGAGCACTGCACCCTAGAGTCGGACACGACTGGACTAAATGTCAAGGGGAACCTTTACCTTTACTTATCTCCCAATTACCTGGTAATTGTGAAGACTGCTTGTAGGCTGAAATCCTGTTCCTTACTAATCTAATATGTTGCACTAGAGTAGCCCCATCAAAACAGTGTGGATTGGATGAGTCAACTTCTACATAAATTCCACTGATTCAAATGGGCCTACTTTAGTTGCAACTTACTTTAGCATAGTAAGTCACAATTAGAATCGGTCCATTTGAAACAGCAGAACTTAATGGAGGGCTTGGTGTGCGCACACGTGCGCGCACATACACACACACACAATTTGATGAGCCTACTGCAGGCACATGCGCGCGCACACACACAATTTGATGAGCCTACTGCAGCACAACTTACTACATTAAGCAAGATTTCAGCCAAAAATTTCCTGCTCCAGGTCAGTGCAATTATTGCTCCAATCCACTTCTGAGTTTGTGCACTCTTTCCAATATACCCTTATACTATTCGGATGCACGAAACTGAAGGAAACTCCCTGAAGCCAAATTCCATTTAATCCATGGCTGTGCAGCTTTTCTTTCTGATGCAGGTGCTGCTCAGTTATAACAAGGAAACACCCAAAAGCCATGTTCTTAAGTCTTTTTGAAGTAGGCAAGCAGATAACCACTGAAGAACATGCACAGTTTTGGGGCATGCTAAATTCAGTGTGTCAACCCTTGTCAGTGCCTTTTTCTATTAAATTTAAACAAATTATATAGGTAAAGTTTGCTGGGGTATAAAAGTATAGCAAGATATGTATGATAAGGAAAGTAATTTCTATGCAAAGTTTTATTTGAAAATAATATTTTAAGCACACTGTGTGCCTTCTCCCCACTTTGTATATTTTTATTCAAATATTTATGGACTGTTAGGACATTAAAATTTTTGTTTAGCAAATATAAGACAAACAATCTAACCTAGATCATATTCTATTTTGAACATTAGAACACTTCCCAGAAAATTCTCCCATGCAAAATTTCTCCAGAAAACTTGTGGCATTGTCTGTTGGGAATACCAAAGTGACTTACATGAGCGCCTGGGTGCCAGCGGATCAGTCTTTGTGTTGCCAGTATGTTGCCCGCATGAACAAACTCTCCTGCAAAAACGATGGACCAAATGAGGGACATCAAAAACCAGCTAACCTTTCCTTATGGTTGCAATCAAGCTCAATATGGTTTGCCCCACAGAGAAAAAAAAAGCCTTTTGCATCATTCTTCTTTATGAAGTAGTACCCACTGCAGATGACTCAAAATTATGCCAATTAGGAAATAATGTTTTGATGTTTAAAATGACAGACCAGAGACTCACACACAGAACCCATTCCCTCTTGATTTCACATCCTGGCTGCATGTGGTTGCACAGCACAAAGAAAAGGTACTCTGCACATGCCCATAAGTATTTTCTTTTTCACATCTTCCCAGGCCAAGCCTAGCCTAATCATTTTGTTTTCATGACTTGCAACCCAATTAATTGAATATCCTCTGACAATGTAGAATGTGATGCAGGGTGTAACATTCAGCCCGGCCCTCACCTGTCCGTCAATCTGGGCCGTGGAACATCAGCCAATGAGGGGACGGAAGGTGGTGCAGAAGGGGGAGGAGCTGGAATATATAAAGGGGTGTATGATGTAAAAGTGGGGAGAGATTGATTTTGAGAGAGTTAGTGATGAGTGTGTCTATGGGCCTGTGAGCCAAATAGTCAGTGAGGGAAGAGTCTGTGTGTGTCAGCGAGTGAGAGACCTTGATTAACATCTTTTGATTTATTTACTTTATTTTGTTAAACCAATAAACAAGTTTTTGTTGTGAAACAACGATTTTTTTAAAAATATTGGATAAAATTGGTGGCAGCAACTGAAGAAGAAGAGTGAGCACTCCTGGAGGCCTGAGTTATTATAGGCTCCAGCATGCCCGCTACACAGGGCAGGAACCAAATATTTTTACTTAATATTCCAAGACGGAAATGAGTCAGATGCCTGACAGCAAATATCCAGAATCCAAATCAGAATAATTCAATGTGTTCTTGCTATTTAATTTACAAGCCAGAAGCCTGGAGAAACTTTAGGAGGAAGGGGGTCATTTTTGTTCTTTCTCAAAGCAACAGGGAATGATGAGTAAATGGTCACATGGAAAGCAGTAGAAGCAATCACGTGGTATAGATGGGGGTGTCAGGACTACAGCATGGAAATGTTTTATACATGTGGAGATCTAAGTTAAGCAACACACTTCCCATTCAGTAGGACTGCATGGGAGGGACTTGTCTGCCTCACCACATTGTATCAAAAAGTTCAGAGATGTCTACAAAGCAAATGTTAACAGTCTTCCCTAACTTGCTTCCGCCACTCTCATCACCATCAAATGTAGGTCATGGGCCTATATTACAGTTTATAACATTTGTTCCTACTGTGTCACTACTTATAAGGGCTTGTTGTTGTTTTTTTGTTCACATCTCTCTGTGAAACAGGATTCATAACCAGCCCACAGCAGCCCTGTATGCTCATCTCTGTGATCATCTGGCTAAAAGGTCAGGGGGGAAAACCCACTTTTGTGATGCTGTTGGCAGTCATGAAGGGAGAACAGTCTCTTTCACAATTTCTGCATGTGGAGAAGTGAAATCATCTCCTAATCCCCTCCATGATCTTTTGGCTTTGCCTCTACCACACAACCATTAGGCACACCCTTCTCTCTGATACACTGTAAACTGACCTGGGTCCTCTTGAGGAGAAAGGCAGGGTAGAAATTATTTAAATGGGTCTGTTTTGGCTGCCCATCTCGCTGCACGCACCCACTGAGTTTGCTAAAGGAGAGAGTTGATGATATCAAATAGGCCAAATATATAAACCTTACAGAACAATGTATTGTGCAATTTATCATGCCTCCCTTTCCTTGAGCTAATCGTGGCTCTCCCTTCTGGGCAACTGGTTTGAATTAGACATCCTTCACTAATCAAGGAATCCTGCAGGTTATTAGCTTGGTCCTGTGACTTGTTGGCCATTCTCGTAAGAGTCACCCATAATATCCAACTTCTTGGAAAAAGCCTGCATGTTATAACCAAGGTGTGAGCTAGGATACACTTGCATGAGACTGAGTGACCTACCGTCATGTTTTTTGAGCCCAGAATGTCTTGCAGCTCTTCTCCGAGGATTATTTAGGGATTTCTTTCCACGATTACTGGCTACAAACCTCACTGCAACTGCATTCAGCACGGGAACAGGCAAAACTGTGTCAGAAAGAAACAGAGGGAGATATAAAACTGTTCAGAACTGACATATTTAAACTGGGAAAAGATAATCTCAGACCAAAAAGAAAGATGTAATGAAGAGCATAAGTTATGAGCTGGCAGTACTCAGTTCAAATCTTAGCTTTGTTGTGAGCCCAAATAGCTGTTTTTGCAATTGCCTCTCAATACAGGCAGCTTTTTTTCTTTAGAAAATGCAGAATTGCTGGCTTTTATATTTACTCACTGGAAGGACAGATCCTGAAGCTGAAGCTCCAGTACTTTGGCCATCTCATGAGAAGAGAAGACTCCCTGGAAAAGACCCTGATGTTGGGAAAGTGTGAGGGCAAGAGGAGAAGGGGATGACAGAGGATGAGATGGCTGGACAGTGTCATCGAAGGAACCAACATGAATCTGATCCAACTCCGGGAGGCAGTGGAAGACAGGAGGGCCTGGTGTGCTCTGGTCCATGGGGTCACAAAGTGTCAGACACGACTTAACGACTAAACAGCAACAACATATTTATAAAGGGAGCATGGCAATTGTTTCTTTGGTGCAAAATGAAATCATTTCCATGAGGCACAAGAGAACACCACACCACTCTTCAAAGAGGTTCTCAGATAACCATCTGAAGACTTACCAAAGGCAGCCCTGCTGGCAATAAGAAAAAATTAAAAAGTTGCATACCTTTATTAGAATACAAAAGGCATGCTGCTTTCAAAATCTCCTATTTCTTCATCACACAAAATGTTATGAAAAGCAGGAAGGAGAAGAGTGACACGACACCGAAGTCATGCTGCCTATTTAGCTATTTGAACAGTCAGTGATTTGGTGACTTCTGACTTGGGATACTCATCTTCCAGCACCAACTTTTGTTTCGTGTTGGGTTGTTTTGTCATAGGGTTTTTAAGGTGTCAAGTATTCAGAAACAGTTCTCCAGTGTCCTCTGCACAGTACTAATAGCAATCAGCTTGAGTGTCACTGCTGCTATAAGAGATCCTCCACCAGGGTCCCTACTGGTTCTTCAGTGCCCTTTGCACAGTACTGTACTAATAGCAATCAGCTTGGGTGTCACTGCTGCTATAAGAGATCCTCCACCAGGGTCCCTACTTCCACCACAGCTACAGCAGCTGCCCCTCAAGAAGTCCTTCCGTCTCCAGCGGCTGTGGACTTCTCCATTCCCTTTTTCTGATGTGCCTCGTTTTCTAAAGATGCTGAATACATTTTAGACCAGGAACAGACTTCAGAGCAATGCAGTCATTAAAGACCTACAGTAGTTAATGTGGTTGAGAGGCGGTTGAAGCGGTCTTTTCCATATTTTGTAAAAGCCGCTTTTAAAGGAATCCCATTCTTAAATCCAGGCTCCAAGGCCAGAAAACTAATTTGCATCATCTCGGAGGCGAGAGCCGCTCCTGCTGTTACACATTCAGACGTTCACATTCCTTCGGAATACTGTATTCCTTCTCGAGTCAGCAGGTCTGAGGGGGGTCTCTTTCTGGTGCCACCGCTTCAACTACCCTCCGGAAGGTTTTCGCTCTCCAGCTGACCTACTCACCCCCCCCAACTCCGCTTTCCGGCCTTACTGCCTGGCTCCAATTCGGAGCAGGCCCGCTTGCCTCCCCCTATAAAACCCGTTACAGTTGGGTGGACGTGCTTCCCTATTAAGCGCCCAGAGGTCCGAAACAGCCACTTTGAAAGGCAGAGAGCGAAAGAGCAGCGACTGCTGGGGATTCATTAGCGAGGAGAACGTTCCACCTCCTCCATTCCTATCACGGCTCAGACATCATCATCCGCACACACCCCAAAGGGGTCACTCTCTCTACGCACACACCCGCACACACACACCCCGGGGCCACCCCGACTTACGGCTCCCGCCGGCCGCTCCCGGTAAAGGGAAAAGCCGCGCAACGAGCGCCGCCGCCGCCGCCATTCGGCCTCCCGCTCGCCTCGGCAAAGGCCGCCTTCCTCCTAGTCCGCCTGCAGGAAGCTTCCGGATCCGGAGAGGGAGAGGCCGCGGCGGCTGTAAAGCGGCGGATATGAAATGGTGGCCGCTGGTCTCGGAAACGTTTGTGTCGGAGAGAAGCGGCCGAAGCGAGGAGCGGGCGGTTCATATTTGAGGCGGTGGGTCTTGCTCAAGCCTGGGCGAAAGCCTTCCTTGTTCCCAGGGGGCGGCCATGAATTGCCCTTGGGATTCATGGCACTGGAGTGCTAGGAATGGCACTTCGCGTAAGCTCAGAGGAAGCCTCTTCTTTCTTTCCCAGGTCCCGCGGTTTTCTTGTACACGATAGTCCGAGCTCGCTTCTGTGGCTGCTTCGTCTCACCCGCTTTCGGCCTTCATGTCAGCGCTTGCAATATACATTAGGGGGAAAGCTGGAAAATGAAATGAGCTCTTCTTCGTTTATTTTCAACAATAACTGGATTGTGCTGTGTGTATTATTGGGGGGGGAGAGTGACGGCTCCTAGTAGGGGGCACCCCCTTGAAATTTTGGGGAAGTCGTTCCCATGTCCCAATTCACAAGTCATCCATGGCCATTGGGATTTTAAAAAAGAAAGAATGTTCCAGTAGAAAAATCTAAGGGACTTGCCGACTTGCCTCTAATATGAGTTAATTAACTCAATATGGTTAATTAACCCATATTGCAAGTAAGTCTTCTATATTTTTGGGGGGTGGGGGAAGTGAAATATATACACTAGTTCGTTATCTAAAGCAATGTATTTTCAAATGGCACAAAGTGGGTAATTTATCAGTGAGGTATAGAATCGTCTTACTGTATTTTGTATATTTGATTTTACAGAGCAGTTCTGTGCAGATTTATTCAGAGCAGTCATACATATTTTATAGACACTAAGAAGCAAAACCCACTCTGATTAGTTGTCAATATTCCTAGGTAAGTGTGCATAGATTATAGCCTAAAGGTGTGTACATGTTTTCTGGTGCAGTCCTGTACATGTCTCTTAAGAAATATGCCCTTGAGTTCAAATGAGATTTACTCCCAGGTACATGTATATAGGCATTCGGGACCAGTACTATCCAAGCGTGAATGCATTCGGGCAATGAAGAAATGCATCACAGATTTACATGCCATGGGTCTTTATGGTATACTCAGGAATCATCAGCCAGAATCCAGTAGAAATTTGCACCAGCATAACTCCATCACTGTAAACGTCAGTTTTGAATTGCTACTAGTAAAGAAATTGGCATAGGTATTTGCTGTGGCATGCCAGATTAGCAAATACCTATGCCAGTTTCTTAATTTGCAGCTGAGATATATGAGGATGATGTGTCTAAATCTTTCTTTTTTGTGAGGTCTTTTGATGATCTGTTGCTGGCTCTTCCCCCACCCCACACCCCGGCCACTTTTTAAAGTACTGTAATTATGTGGCTTGATTGTATAGTACAGTAGAAGAACAGTTTGGCCTAAAAGGAGGTTTGTGAATAATTTAAATAAATAAAATGAATAACATAACTTAAAATAAGCATTAAAAAGATAGTGGTGACTGTACGGGAGGTTCCGTGGTGAATGATGATGGGAAGTTCTGTAAGAATTAGATATACTGTAGGTGATGCTGTGTGGTTTCTCCTGCTGCCTTTTGAAGTTGTCACGGTGACCATAAAGCATAATAGCTGCTGTTTTTGGTTCTGTTCCATAGATACTGTCTTACCTTCATGAGCCCTACTTGAGAAGTGGGACCTCAACACCATGTTCCCAGAGCTGGATGAGAGTGATGGTGAAGAGCTACCAGCCTTCCATAGTCTAATCAAACAGCCTCCTGAAGAGGGTGGAGTGGTTGTGCTCTGCAACTCGGACTCTGAGGGTTCCTCCATTTCTTCTCCTGCATGGAAAAAGCTTCGAGGGGCTCAGGATTCAACTGAGGCGGCCCCTGGTAGAAAGGTGGTGGTGGTGCTACTCAGCAGTGAAAGTGAGGAGGAGGAAATCATCCCTTTGGTGGAAAGGCTTAAGAAGAAGCTTCCAGCCACCCAACCATCTGTAGCTGGTACTTCGTTTACTAGAATCCAAGAACAGCGCTCCCAAGACTCTGCTGGAGGCAACAAGGTGTCTTCCAGTAATGAGGAAGCAGCCCCCGGTGGCTCGCAGCCGTCACTCCCCAGGGGCCCGGAGGCTCAGAGAAGAGCTGCACCCGGAACATGGGAGTTGTCAGAGAGTGATGAGGACCTGCCTTCATGGGAACCCACAAAGCAAGCTTTGGACCAACCTTCGGTTTGTGTCTCTGACTGCCCAGTGCAAAATGTCACCCATCAGGTGACACAGATCAGCCTGAAACCCTTCCCTGTTCAGACAAATGCAAAACGGAGCCAAGAAGAGCTTGAGCAAGCTCGCCAGGCTGCCCCTTCAGACAAATGCAAAACGGAGCCAAGAGCTTGAGCAAGCTCGCCAGGCTGCCCTGCAGAGGAGGAAAGACCGAGATGCCCAGAAGGCATTGCAGGAGCAGGAAAGAGAGAGGAGGAAGGTTCTGGCCAACCGGCAGAAGGCCCAGAGACCAGAGGAATGTCTGAAACACATTCAAGTGGTGCTGGATCCAGGTACTGTCCCAATACTCACGGCTTTGCTAGGCAGTTAATTGTCCACCACCTCTATGGGGTTTTGACCTCTCTTCCCCTCTTAGGTCTTCTCCAGGTCGAAGGTGGTGGACAGGTGCTCAGTGCTCTACAGGCCATGGAATGTAGCTGTGTGATTGAGACCCAGGCTGTCCCCTTCAGTATCACCTGGCGAAGGAAAACTGGACTTGCTCAGGTATAAGAGTGTGTTTCCAGAAAGACGTTTCTTTCACCTTTTGTCTCAGCTAATAATGATGCAGTGGCATGATAAGGGTTTTCTGGAAAATGTTGAATTAGAATTTTTGGGGGGTATTTGTGGAATTTTCCATTTCCTTAAGTAAAGTGTGGTCTGGTTTATCTAACGTAGGGGTGACTACTTGGGCCTTGAGTCTGTTCTGGGGACAGGCTGGTTCGCTCCTTTTGCCAGCAATCAGATGATGCCATTGCTGGAACAAACTGCCTTCTCCCCAGAGCATTCACACCTACTCCTTTCTTGCTGTCTGTCAGGAGATAGTATTTTTAAGGTGTGGATAGGATTGTTCCATTTTGGTTTGACTCCAGCACTGATCATTGGTATTGAACTAAAGTGGTGTCCTGGCTGTCTCCCTTTAAAGAGAAAAGATTCTCAAGATCATTAAGCAGCTGGCTGACTGCCCCTTTGGAGAAATTCGAAGCTTTCCCTTTAAATTTGTGCAATCTTACTGACCCTATTTAGCCTTCACCAAGTGAGCCCTCTAGCCAAGCCCTTATTTAGCAAACAAAACTTTTAAATGTCCCACCATCCTGGAAATATTTGAACTGAAGACATTTAATTAGAGGGAAAGACCCCCTTTGTGTCTTTTAAATATCACATTCAAAGCTTTATATCAGAATGATTTTTAATAGAATGCTTCAAGCATATACTTCCCCTTAATGCCATCTTTCTGCTTAAGAAAACAGGCATTCTTAGTTCTTATGTTATTAGCGTACCCCTGGAAAACATTAATTACAACAACTCAAACTGCCTTAAATGCCTATGCTATACTAGCATACATCTAGTCAATTTCATGAAACAATGATGTTAAACAATGTACCCCTGGAAAACATTAATTACTGTACAACAACTCAAACTGCCTTAATTGCCTATGCTATACTAGCATACATCTAATCAATTTCATGAAACAATGATGTTAAACAAATGGAGAATGTGACCTTAAAATAGTCAGCATTACTGATGGAGCAGCTAGTTGGTGGTGGATTGTCCCTGTGGCAGTTTCATTGTTCTAAAATAAGAAAATCCCCCTCCCATCTTTTATCAGGGACATTGAACAACCACCCCAAAATTCCACAGGTTACTTGAGCAAGTTTCTTGAACATTAGCCTTTCCTCATTTACAAAAGCCTTGTGGAATGAATGATTTTTCAAAGAACGGATTTTGAGACATCTTATTTGTACTAGGTAAATATATTTGAACAGGAACAATGTGACCTTTCAAATATTGCTGTACCAAATATCTCATTTAGTTATGCTGGTGATGGCTGATGAGAGTTGCCTTGCAGTGATCTCTGGAGGGCCACATGTTCTCCAATCACTGCGGTAAAGGGCATGGATCATTATGTCTTCTTAAGCTTCTTTAGGCAGCTGATTATAGATCTTCAGGGCTTTCCCAAGCTGGGTCACCAGTACTGCCATCATGTTGCATACGGATTTTTCCTATGTTTGCAAAACCATTGGAAATGTTAATGCCAACATAAAGTAGATCCTGTAGCCATCCTGTTGGGCATGGTTTGTTTAGCTTCATGTCAAAACTCTGTAGGATGAGATCCATTCCACTTGCCTTCTTTGGGATTGTTTCTACTTAAAAAAATTGGTTTTCCCTGTTCACCTCGGGCCCTGGGGAATTTATGGTGCCAATGACTCTGGCATTCAGTAGCCAGAGTTATTGTTGCTGTATTCCCCTTCCTCTTGTGTTAAACTTGTTTTTGTGTCTGAAGGTTGAAGGTGGTGACTTGACGGAAGAACCCAGCATTCTAGTTCTGGTGCTGCTAGAAGACTTTGTCACCATGATTCGTAGCAGTAAACAGGTATGGTTGTGTTAATTCTGGCACTTAGCCACTGCTTGGCTTTTTGTGTAAACCTTACCACCACTAAAACCCATCTGTCTGTCTGTCTGTCTGTCTGTCTGTCTGTCTGTCTGTCTGTCTGTCTGTCTGTCTGTCTGTCTGTCTGTCTGTCTGTGTCTGTCTAGCTAGCTAGCTAGCTAGCTAGCTAGCTTAAAAGGTAGGGCCAGTGTCTGGTTGTGTTCCTCCCTGTGTACTAGGACTTGTTGCACACACACGGTTGTGTCTTCTCTGCTTCTTGCACAAGGGAGAATCAGCAAATCTCTTGCACAAGCAGAAGGGCCCCTTGTGCCAAAACAGGGAGATCTTCAGATTGTGCAGCTTCAAAGTGGAGATCAGAGAAACCAATCGGAAGCACTGCAGGCCTGGAGCTGTGTTATGTTCCACGTTTGGAAACAGGATTCTGGCTAAGATCGGAATCAAGGTTTATATTTTACACATTGATATTCTTGTTGTACAAAACATCATGTTAGTAATAATTTGTCAGTGGTAATAAGGACCTTCACATGCTGTGAATGCTTCATTTAATTCTGAGAAGCTGGTGAATACACAGACATTGAAAGATCACAAGTTTGTGTGAGTATATTTGAAAGTTATGTATTCAGTTTGTGCATAGTGAATTAAATGCTGTGGATGTTTGCTTTGGCCTAAGAAAATCTATAAGTGTTGCTTTCTGATGTGTGTTTTCTTTTTCCAGGTTGGCATGGAAGGACCCGTGGAGACTTTGCAGAGTTTTGTTGCTAATATCATGAAGAAAGCCCCAGGGAAAACTCTGGCACTTGCTGTTGTAGAACTAGAAAAATATTTCAGGTGAGAATGTTACCTTTTATTTCAAGGAGCTTTGAGAATACTCCTCTTGGACCCCAAAGCAAAACCCTCCTACTTTGAGGGCAGGGTGGCTTCCACTCTTGGCTGTATAGCCCAAGACAGTTTGCTGCCTGATAACAAAGAGCAAGGTCGCATCCCGCTACCTCAGGCAATGCCAGGGGAGGGGTATTTGAAACTTATTCAGCAGTGGTGATGAAGCAGGCTCCTCCTTTCAGTCTGAGGGATCGTTTAGTCGTGTCTGACTCTTCGTGACCCCATGGACCAGAGCATGCCAGGCCCTCCTATCTTCCACTGCCTCCCGGAGTTGGGTCAAATTCATGTTGGTTGCTTCGATGACATTGTCCAACCATCTCATCCTCCGTCGTCCCCTTCTCCTCTCGCCCTCACACTTTCCTAACATCAAGGTCTTTTCCAAGGAGTCTTCTCTTCTCATGAGATGGCCAAAGTATTGTCTGAGGGTAGTTGTGGTGATTGGCCTTGTCACTCCTGCCACTCATGCTCAAGAGCTTATTTGCATGAGCCTATGAGAGAGCTGGAGATGTGGAGTCAATTGAAATATGAAGCTTGGCTGAAGGAGGGGCAGTCAGGGATCAGAGAGGAATCGGATAGAAATAGGAGTGAGATAGCAGTGAGATAGGGATCAGTTAGGAACTGGTTAGGAAACTGATGAGGAGATGCAAGAATTGGCTAGAAAGAGAGGTTGGTGATGTGTTTATGAAACTGTAAACAGAGAGAAACAAAGTACAGTAATGAGGGAACTGATAAGCGAAGGCCAATGAACTTTGATCACCTGAAAGATTTCTAATACTGTTTGAAATACTGTTTCATTTTAATAAATACCTTTTGGTTGTTCACAAGACACATGTCCAGTCATATGTTAATGGTATTGTGGATTCAGATAATCCACTGTTGGCACCAAAAAGGAAATGGCACCTGTGGGCCTTTGTGAGGGAATAATAAACAAAGGACACGGGGTTCGCGACAAGCAGTGGTCTAGCTTAGAAGGCTACGTACAGTAGACTGTGTGGCACACACAGCTGTTTTCCTCCCTTGTTTGGTATTTCATCTGGCAGCCCACTCAAGACAATGGAGTGCAGCAGCAGCCTGCAACACATGAGCAGAGCAACACATGCGCACACGTTATGCGTTCTGGTCTGTATCGCTTGGCCTTTCTGTCTGCTTTCTCAGTTAGGTGTTGGCTGTAAGAAGCGGGCCAGGAAGAAGTAAGGGCTTCCAGCAAAGAAATGACGACACATGAGAGTGTGAGTGGCTTGGGAAGAGAGGATTTGAGGGGGCAATCCAAATGGTCAGGAGAACCAACCACAAGGAAGCATTGTTTCCCTGAAAGCAAGGACTGCCTGGCTCTAGGGAAAGAAATGGATGGCGCCAACAAGATTACAACTCGGGGAATATGTTCTCTCAGAATATATGGACAGAATCCCCACTTTGGTTTAAGAGAATTCACTCATGTTTGGTTAGTTTAAAATGTACACCTCTGCTGTTCCTGCTGTGGCAAATCTGGAAGAGCAGGTACTCATCATGACTGTCCCCATAGCCAGGCTTTTCCCAAGAAGAGTCCAAAACCAGAGTCAGCTGGATTGGGCAATGTCAGCGAATAAGGAGCAAGTCTTTTGCAGAGCTGAGGTATTATGATTGTCTGTTCAGGATCAGATCGCCCTCAAATACTTTGCATTACAACAGGAAGAACAGCAACAATACAGTGTTCTTGAGGAAATCCATTTCTTTCCCACATATTGGGAAGATTGCAGTTAAGCTCAGGGAGGCCCGAGAGGGGGTGTTAAGAAAGAAGCCATTGTTCCTGCTAGTCAGGAAATCACAGGACTTTGAATCTGTGGGCCCTTGGCTTCACTGCTTCCAAATAAACATGGCTATCAATCCTTTAAAAGGTTAGGGGGAGACTCCAACTCCCCTTAAGGCAAGGGCCGTTAATCCCTGTTTCCATGCCCCAGCTAAAGTGAATATGTGGTGGATTGTTTTGTTTTAAAGAAGCCAACTGAGAACAGTTCACTTGAACTATTGTCTGGTAGCCACAGGAAGATGGGGGCTACCAGGTAGCCAGGACTGCGCTGCCCCTGTTTCTTATAAAATGTTCCACTTTACCACAACTTGAACTGTTGTCAGGTAGCCACAGGAAGATGGGGGCTTACCAGGTAGCCAGGACTGTGCTGCCACTGTTTCTTATAAAATGTTCCACTTTACCAACTCCGAAAATACTCTCTGATGAAGAAAGCCATAACGAGCATTGCAGGGACTCCCGTTTCTTGCATCTTTCTGTGCAGGACTGCTATGCCAGGAAACTGGGATGAGGGTTTCTCTGAACAGTTTGTGAGTTCCACTGCAATCCTTGTGTCGTTCATTTTTTCAGCAGACAGCCCTCTCTTGTGAAAGGACCTAAAGCACATGCTGTTAACTGATTCCTTGTCTTTTTTAGTTCCCACAAGCATAAATCTCAGAAGAAACTACCCCAACAAGAACAGGACGGCAGTGAAGCCCAGGAACAGGGCAGACAGCGAAATCCGAGAGGAAGGACAAAGTCAGTCCGAGAATTGTCCCGAGTAGACGTTGAAGAAGTGAGTGAATTTTGAGGAGTGTGCTGTGCTGGTGTAGTTTGCTAGCTGGCACTGTCAGATTTAAACTTCTCTCTCGGGAAGCAAGGCTGAACTTCTTCTCTTGCCAAGAAGGCAAGTCTCCGTTATCCAAGTGGGTGATAGCTGTGGCTGTACCATTCATTGTAAGGAAGCTCCTGCAAATAATGTTAAGAGTATTGAATGGAAGGGCACCAGGGAGGGGAAGTATATGGAAGATGCGATGGCTCAACGAGCTTGAGATAGGGAGAAATTCGCTTTGCGAAGATCGGTAAGCGTTTCGCTTACCGATCTTCGCAAAACGAAGCTCCGACGATCAGCTGTTTGGCGGACAAAATGGCCACCGGAAGCCCCAAAATGGCCGCGTGCAGCGTTTTCGCACCCTCCCCTCGCTTAACGAGGGCGCGAAAATGGCTGCCGGCCATAGGAAACCTCGCTGAACGGTGAGTAAAGGAGCCTTTTGGAACGCATTAAACGATGTTTAATGCGTTCCAATGGCTTTCCCTGTCCCGTTCAGCGATGTTTCGCTATAGCGAAGGTTAATCCGGAACGGATTAACCTCGTTATGCGAGGCACCACTGTAATGTTGAGAGTATTGAATGGAGGGGCACCAGGGAGGGGAAGTATATGGAAGAGGAGAAACTTTGTTGATAGGAGAAGAGTGACCGAACAGAAAAAGAAAAGGGAAAAGCAGAGGAAGGAAACTAAACAGAAGGAGGAAGGGGCAGAATTCAGCAAGACTGTGGAAGCTGAAACTCATTGGTACTTGTCTAAAAGTTCAGTTCTTCATAAGCATTTGTAGTGCAGAGTTTGCATTGCAGGTGTGTAGGATTCTTAGCTACTTGTTAATTTTTAACTGTATTACTCGTTGAAAATTTTAAAAGCAAAAGAATGTGTTCATACTGATATCAAGGGTCCAGTGTCAATTCCATTTTCCCCCATTCATCCTACCTAGAGAATCAAGTTTGATACATCCCACTCAAAAGCATGACAGAAGGTAAATGCCAAGGAAGCCAGCCATGTTTCTGACTTGCTGCTGGTGTGAGGGGAAAAAAAGTTATTCCTACCTTTTGGTCCCTATGGTTGTAATTTGAAGTGGCTGGAGTTTCTGAATGGTCTTCAAAATGAGCTATGTGTACAGCAAATGTACAGCACATGGCTGTCATCAAATCTGGAAATCATGAAGTTTGAATGCCAGAATCCTGTTGATGGTTTATGCATGCAGAAGGGAAATTGCATAGGTCTTGGTGGCAAATTGCAAGCTATCGACATCATGGTGGTTATATTCCTACACCTGCCTCCAGGAACACAACTGGCACCTCATTGATGAGTGGCAATTTGCTGTCAAGACTTACACAGTTTATCTTGGCAAGCAGTAGGATTCTGGCAGTAAATATTTCCTCCTGGGGTGATTAAGGCCCTATAATAGAGGAGTCCCACAGAAGGATCAGGACCAAGCTTTAGTAGAAAAACATACACATCAGATACAGTTGTACAGTTAGAAAAGTACAAAAATGTCATTCTTATGATATATCATCTCCTTTTATTGGTTATATGAATCTCCCGAAAAACAATCATGCCTCTATTTCACTCATAATTGTTTGTGGCAGGATGATTTAGGTTAAAAGTTATATAAATATCTAAGGACATTTTAAATATATAAGTTGTTTTTAAAACTATGTACTGTGCTATGTATGTTATTTGCCCTATTATATCATCCTTTAATGCATTGTTGTATTTTAAGTAAAAAAGAGGTTGTGTAGACAAAAGCGCCTGGGCCTCACAGATCCATGGTGGGCAGGAACTAAAGTAAGGATTCTCAGTTGCTCTCCCTTGCACTTTTAATCAGGGGAATGACTGAGGCTGCACACTTGCACCAAAGCGGTCTGTGGCTCTTTGGGTCATGGCACTGCCTCACCACTGTGGCTTTTTTTTAATTATTTATTTTTATTTTATTTTATTTTTTACTTTGCAGGCTATGGTGGATCTGCAGCTTCACATGGGTGTCCAAGTTCAAATCCTAGAGAGCTGGAAGGAGTTTGGTGACTTTGCCAGAATGTTTACTAAGGCTGTGGCTGAAACACCATTCAAGTGAGTGAGCACATCAACTGTTTTGGTTAAGAACTTCTGAAAGCACTTCTTGGCAGCTTTACCTTGAGGATATGTGGCTATGAAGCTGCCCACTCTCGAGGGCCGTGCCTTATGTTCAGTGTATGCAGACTCCATGTGCTTAAAAGCCCTACTAAACAGGGCTTAAGGCCTCCATGCATATTTGCACAATCTTTAAGACACATACTCTTCAAAGCTTTTAAAAATCATGTAGCTTGACCTATGGTATACATTTGGTAACTGGTTTTCTGCTGTAACAGGTCAGGCAGCCTGGTTTCTGAAATCAGATGCCGACTGAAATCTTGTTGAGTACTGTAGTTGTGTTGGCATTACTTAATATTATGCAAGCATTGGTTATAGTTAGAGATGGGCACAAAACACTTTGTGCCCAGTTGTTCTAAGATGTAGCAGGGCACCACAGGAGCTATACGTTTGTTTCCCCCACCCCCTCACCAGCACTCCTGCTCACCAGCAGGTATGCATTGCTCTTTCCCTCCCTGCCACACGATCTTCCAGTCCAGTCAGGAGCCTCCTCCAGCAGCTGGCTTCTTTGGATGAGGAGGTGGGGCAGGGAATCCTGCTGTCCTGACTGTGAATGGCAGTCATCTCACATAATCCTTGTTGCCTGGGCAACAATTACAGCTGCCTAACTTTCTGTTATATGACAACATATGGGATTCTGGTCAATGTTGGTGGACTTTTCCAAGTGCTCTAGAAATTTTGCTGTTGTGGGCAAATAGAAACATGCCTTGCACTTTTCTTTTTTCACCTCTGATGTGTCTCAATCTTTTGTAGAAGGGAACGAGACAAAACCAGCTTCTCCTTCTGTTTAGAGGGGGACTGGGTTACAGGCATGAAGGTGGACCGCTCTGGAAAGGGGTTGCTGCAGGTTTGGAAGAAGCAGATTCAGCAATTCAGCCGGGTCAGTCTAGAGATGGCCAATGCTATTGTAGCCAAATATCCTTCTCCTCTGCTACTCATGCAGGTAAGATGTTCTGCTGCTACCATCTTCTACTGTATTATGAAGATTTATTGCATGTGTGTATACATGCACCATAAAACTCTCACCATAATTCTCAGATTCTATGCAAGAAAGCATCTGTTCTGCATAGGGATGTCAAAATTTAGAAGTAAATTATTCTGATATTATTAATCTATATAATTTAAATATACATAGAGTACATGGAATCGCCTTCCTGAACTACCAATGATAAATATAATGCAGTGTTGAAAATTGCTTATGTACACACTGCTCAGTCCTCTGTGTGTTCAGAAGTAAATCCCACTTCCTTAGCAGGGTTTACTCCAGGTCGAGGCATGTCAGGATGTGCTTTTAGAATTTTAATGGAAGTATATCCTGATCCACTGGTCCCATATAAAGTGTCTTTCAATATCACACATGCAGTTCCAGCTTGTTCCTTGACAGCTTCGAAAGAAACTACTGTATAATGAAGCTAGGGAAGATAGCTTCTTCTGAGCTAGGGAAAAAACCTAGCTCCCCTTTGACAACTTCTTTCTGTCATCTGCCGTCTATTACCCATTTGTTTGGTACTGCAAATTGGCTAGTTAAGATCCCATGAACTGCATGTAGGAGAGCTTGTTTGATAAAACATCGTGTTCACAGGGATGTACTCCCTTATGTCTTTAGGTCGGTTGCCTCACGTGATCTGTCTTTTGCTTTAATCAGATTATACCCCTGTTAGATATCTGTTCAAGATATTTTCTGTTTAATCTTCAAAAAAGCGATTTCCCTTTGTTGTTAGGTAGTTTGTTCCACCACTGAACTGAAATGCTCCTAATTTCAAGTTTAGCTTCCTCTACTACTCATTCTATTCTTCACAGAGAGGGTGAAATCAGGGGTGTGGACGATATGTGGTTCTCCAGGTGTTACTGGGTTACAATTCCTATCAGCTCTAGCCAACAGCGAATTTTGAAAGTTAATAGGAATTGTTGTCCAACATCTAGAGGAGTATTTTCCTCATCACAGCCCCTGTTTATTTAAGTGGATGGCCCAAATATTACTCTTAGAACTAAGAATATCTAAATCCATAATAGGCAACGAAAGATAAAAACCAGGAACTTGGACAACCCGATTTAGCAAAATATCATGGTACATTTTAGTGGTACAATCACTAAGAAAAGAGATAATAGGAACAAAAGCCTTGAGTCCAAATGGAATTGTCAACCTATAACCTAGGAAAATACATATTTGCATCTACAAAGACAAACCAGCTGACATACACAACCCATTTTACATGCATTTCTGCAAATGTAGGTTAAATAGAGTGAGACCCTACTCTCATCTCTATTTCTACTGTTGACCCCCTGTACTGATACATTGTTTTATCATCCAAAGATACTTGTTTTAGGAGATGGATGGAAGCAGGTCAAACCACTTTGGAATTTTTATCCATAAGACAAACTTTTGATGGCCTGCTGTATTAAGGATCAAGTTTCATGTGGCCCCAATTGGGTATGGAAACACAAATATTAACACGTTACTAAGGTAACAAGTAGGAAGGAATGAGCCAGCAGATCATTCATGAAATTCAAATTCATCATCAAAGACTACATATGTGTGATGAGGGGTTGGCAGTTGCAAGCTATAACATTTGATTAAATTCCACTGAGTATTCCGCAGGGGGCATAAAAGATACATAGGAACATGGCTTGTTCAGTAACAGATGCACAGTGAGCAGCAGCTTGGTCTCATAAGCGTTTTCAATCTATTTTGCCAGGGGTAAGGGAATACTGCTGTGTCAATGACAACAACACAGTGACATTAGTTCTGGAGGGCATGTGGGCAGATTGGAATGTCTGTTTATGTAAGGTGGGAATGCCCAGTATTGAGATTTTGGCGAGGGAAATAAATCGGGAGATATAAAGTGAATCATCACGCTTTCCATTTAAAGTCCAGTGCAGCTTTACCAGGTATCTTTTTGAGCATTAATGAGGCTCTGTTGCACAAAGAACTGTTTACATTCTTGTGCATTGCAGCTTGTGAGTTGGTTAGAAAGATGGAGGAGACCCCTGTCCTCAGAAGTTGGTACAAGGATGTCTGGGACCTAACTTTGTCTGAAAGGCTAACTCAGGATGTCATAAAGCACAGAGACTCAAATATTTCTTGATACTGCATGGTTCCCTTTTATTTGTTTAATACCCCCAAAGTGACTCTACATGTAAACACGTGCCAAATTTACACCAGACAATTTAGCAGAATCCTTTTGGATGGTTAGGCATCCATGCCGAGGCTGCCTTGACTGGGGCGGCTCAGGACTTCATCGCCGCCATGACAACCATGGGGCTATCTCCATGTGTCATCGGCCCAACACATGAGAAGGGCCATACCTTGGACCTGGTTTTCTCAACGGGACTGGAAGCTGGTGGTTTGGACATGGAGGGGCTGGTCGTGACCCCATTGTCATGGTCAGACTACTTCCTGGTCAAGTTTAGTCTATTAGCTTCTTCTACCCTCTGCAAGGGTGGGGGATCTATTAAGATGATCCACCCCCAGAGACTAATGGATCCAGATGGTTTCCTGAATGCTCTGGGGATTATCCGTCTGATATGGTTGGCGCTCCTGTCGAAGCTCAGGTCACCCTATGGAATAGGGAGATGACCCGGGCGGTTGCCACGATTGCGCCTAAGCGCCCTCTCCCTGCTCGCCAAGCCCAGACAGCTCCTTGGTATACTTCTGAACTGCGGGCGATGAAGCAAGAGGGGAGGCGGCTGGAGCGCAAGTGGAGGAAGTCCTGCTGGGAGTCCGATCGAACACCACTTAGAGCCCATTATCACGCCTATTTTGTGGCAATACGGCTGGTGAAACGGCACTATTTCTCCAGCCGTATTACTTCCTCAGAATGTCGTCCAGCAGAGCTGTTTCGGGTGGTCCGGGATCTTCTTCAACCGAGAAATCTGATGGAGGTCCTGGACTGCTCATCAGCTCGCTGTGATGAGTTTGCTATTCATTTTGAGGGAAAAATCGCTCAGATTCGCAGTGGGCTGGACTCCACTGTTACTCCAAAATCGGAAGATGTGTCTAGTGTGCCGTGCTTATGTCAAATATTAATGGATGAGTTTCAATTG